CTGTTTGTTTTTCCTGCTGTAAACTTTGTATCAGTCTGTGGCATTTATGACGTGGCCAATATCATACCAGAGAATGATGATATGTGTATGAAATGTGACCTGCGCAGCCTGTTAGATCCTTGTATGCCAGCGGTAGTTTATGCCCATGCAGGATTGTATTTAGCTCCAGATTAGCCCCAGCATTTCCACAGCCCCACAAGGAAAAGCTCTTTGCAGATGAATGAACATACCATACCACTGTATCAATACCCAACAGAGCTTTTGTACCACATACAACACCTAAATACAGCAAAGAGAGCCAGAACTGAAATTTCCTAAGTTTTTAGCTTTTATCTGGCAGTGCAAGAGTGTCACACAAATATGTACAAACTTTTTGATATTATGTTACCATTTTATGTGACCAAATCAACTTCACAAGGTGGAATAAGGCAACACTCCTTCTTAGAAGCCAGCAACATTCCTCATATTTTATTTTCAAAATCTGTGAGGTTCTTTGAGCAATTGACTCTCACAAGCTCCTAGTTACAATCACCATGGGTAGAGCAGGTAAGATGCTTGTAGTTATGTTTGCTTGACACTCGCATAATTTCCTGGTTTGAACTCCTTACAGCTTTGTCCAACCTTAACCATTTGTTTAGATATATCTTTTTTTCTATCTCGGGCTCAATTAATGTTTTCAAGCTTTTATCAAAATGAGATTAGAAAACATGAAGCACTTTTTCAAAGGTTTATGTCTTCTGTGCAGTATCTTTTCTTTGAAGAGCTTTTATGCAGAAATGTTAAGCAGAGCTTTATCAGAAGGGCACAAATGCACTCACTTAACTGACTCCAGGAAAAAGGACGTGGATGTAGCTCTGGAAGATCAACAGCTGTATGTGCTCGCTATACTGTCATTAAGAATATGCTGGTAAAATCGCTGAACTTTTTACTTTCATCGAGTACCTCCCATTTCCTTTCTCAATAGTGATCGTATCACTCAAATTCCCGGAAATGGCTGGAGAAGATGAGAGGGATGCAGTAGTCAATACCACATTCTCCTCTGGCCTATGCAAGGGGCAGGGGACAGATCCATTTTGAGCTCTTTTCTGTTCTAGGGTAACTGCCTACTTTTAGCTTACTGCAGGTATGAAGAAAATTACCTCTCTAGGACAAGCAACTTGTGTAGGCCTCTGACCATAAAACGCTATGTGACGCCAGGCAGGAGAACTTTCAGCCACTACAATGGATGTCTGATGTGTGGAGAAATGCTGAGGTTCACAAGCTAACAGAAAAGTTTTTGCTCATTTCACCCTAACTAGACTTGGACATAGACCTATGTAACTCCATCTAGTTCAAAGTTCCAAGTACCTGTTCTAGCTTCAGAAATGGCAACTCTATCAACTCCAATGCTTTGAGTAAATTATCAAATGCATAACTCAAATACTTCAAACTTATGGAATGTGTATCAAATATACATGGTTGTTTTGGAGTTTGGGTCCATGGGCGGTTCTTTTGTCCAGTTACATCCCAGCATTGTTCACCATTGCTGTTTTCCATTCTGCCTTCCAGGATAGCAAACCTTACTGCCAGGCTGGTATTACGGAGAAAGGTAACTTCAGCCATCTCAGACTCACACAGTAGGAGTGTGCCTGTGACCAGCTGGCTCATGGTCTCGCTCACCTCACAAGTAACTTGTTCATATGATACCACATATTTGGTCACATCATTTCCCAATATACTGGAGAGCTTACCCTTATATTAAAATAAAGGTTCATTTTCTTATGTGCAGAACGTTTCCATGGCTTCTGTAAATGCTGCCATATGTCTGTGAAATCCAGCTGCCTCCGTGACCCTCACTCCCTTAAAGCTTCACAACTTTTTTCAAAGCACTTCTTTTAGGATAGTAATTTTTAGCTTGGACACAACCCAAAACTACTAAAGCTGTACATGTATGAGTGAAGGGAGGAAGGGAGGTATTCCAGCACTGAACTTGTCCTTACTCAAAGTAGAACTTTTTCATTAAGGGAAAGAAGGAAAGGATAAAGAACTTAAGCATGTCTCCATATACCAAGTGTATTTGTTAAACTACATTTTTCCACTTAAATTCAAGCTGCATATCAAAGCTGCAAACACTGCAGTACAACTTGTCTACAACACAGCAAGACTGTGTAAGAGCTTTTAGTCTGCATACTTTATTCTTTGATAGATAACTGATAGGGAACAGTATTATATGAAAACATAAGAATGGCTTTCAACCTAAAATCATATCCCTGAAATTGCCAGCTCTTGATTGACATTGCATTAGTGCTACTCTGTGCCTTGTAATATAGTTCTGAAAAAATGAAAAGAATCTGCACACTAAAACCCAAATAGGTTTTCCCCTTTTTTTATGTTCTTCCTTTGCAAGGGTTGCGATATGAGAAGGAGTTTTTTACTAGTGAATTTGAAATTTACTCCTTTTGTAAGGAACACCTCAATTAATAGCTGATTGCCAACCAATGGAGCTGCCTCTTGCTTGACGCTCCATTGAACTCACTGGCAAGAGTTCCTTTTCCCATGTGATTCACTGGAGCTCTGCAGTGGCACTGGCATTGCCCAAGTATGCATATTTGCAAGACTGAGGTCTAAACGCAAGTGTAAATATTCACTTCTGTAAATGGTCTTTAACTAGAGAGATCCCAAGGACTTAAGTAAGAAAAACAGACCTCTAGAGAGTAATTCTAGCACCGTTTTCTTCTGTGAAGTGCAGAGAGTTGAAGTTTTGCACGTTTGAACCTCAGCAGGGAAAAGAAAGAAATGGGTATGTCTCTTTGCCCACAACCAAGCATACCAGTTTTATTTGTGGCTCATACTTTGGTTACCTTTCATTCCTAATGCACATACAGATTAGCAACACTTATTATAAACAAGATTTTTTCCCCAGAAACTGAGACAATCCAGTAGAGAAAAACAAGGCAGTAACTCCCAGGCTTGGAAAACAGAAGATGCTTTGTGATTTTCAGCTCCAGTGCTGATTTCTGGTTTGTAGCCCTCTTTCTCTTGTCCTTTTTTAAACAATGCTCTCCTCCTTCTCATCTTAAGAGGCCAGCCTGTAGGTCCAGCTTCTTTTGTGGTTCTTCCTCTCTGTGCACTCCAATATTCATTCTCCCATTCTTGCTTATTTCCTACTAAGAAATCACCACACGTAATCACCACTTTGCACAAGTCACATTCTGTGGGTTAAAGGAGGAACAGAATAATTAGCAGTAAGGGATGTGTAAGGCCCAACCCATGGAGGGCAATGATGGAGGTAGGGAAGCTGAATATTTATTGTAGCAGTGTTTTGTGCCTCCTTTACACTAGTCTCGGGAAGTTCTTTCCTACTTGTCTAAGGTGAGAAAGTAAATTTTGTGCCTGCGCTGCTAACTTTTCCTGACAGCCTCACTGGGTTGGGTAATATAAATAGTTGAACTAGTGCTTGCAGTTAACTTCTGGCATACCAGTTCAGATAGTTTGAGCATTTCTGTGGATTACTTTAGAGCTCCTAGCAGGGGCAATACTGCAAACAACCTGTATGGAAGCACCAAGTGAATGTTAAAGACATCTTGAAAAATGGCTGAAAAATAGACCATGCAGATAGTTCCTACGTATGCATTTTTAGCAGAACTTGCTGTCTTTGTCATGCAGTACTTCCTAGACACACAACTTTTTACCCACATTTTTATCTAAGCAGAGCAGGCAATTAGTAATTGTGTGGCAATGAGAGCTGTCATTTCCCATGATTCTGCTGCAAATCCTACAGTGTTTGGTGTTTCTGTGAAACTCTAGTCCCTGGTGTTAAGGGATAACATGTATATTAAGGGAGGCAGAAGGAAAAGGGCAAGGTAAATTTTTATCCTTTGTGTTGCAGGACAGTGACTTGCTTTCTCTTTTTTCCCTTGCAGGTATGACATAATGAACCTGCAGTACATAGAGCCCAACCGCTACGACTACGTCCACATTGGGACCTGGCATGAGGGCGTGCTCAACATCGACGACTACAGGATTCAGATGAACAAGAGTGGAATGGTCCGATCGGTGTGCAGTGAGCCTTGCTTGAAAGGCCAGATTAAGGTGTGCCTCAGACACTTGCTTTCTGCTACAGAAATGTGAATAACCAGTCAGTGTTTTTTCCCTATACTCAAGCAAGCTTCTTCCAAGCCAAGGGATAGGACTTCCTTTTCTTCAGGAAAGCCAAAAGTATAGAAAGACTCCTAGATTAGCATCTTACTCTTACAATCCCATACACAGGCCCGTGTTTTCTAAAATTGCCCTTGGTAGTGATGCAGAGTCTTCTAGTGTGACAGGATTTGAATTTTACCTTATGTGAGAAAGAACAAGATTTTCACTTAGTCATTTCCTACAACATTCAGTGGCTGTGATTCACTTGGGGGCTGATCCTGAAAACAACGTGACCCATGGGAATCTAGTATTTTGTTCCAGCAATAACACCTGCAAGAAAAAAAGCGGGGGGAAAAAAGGCCTATTTGTGTCTTGTGTTCACAACAGGAGGTATGGAAACACAAATGAAATCACTCTGTGTTTACCAAACAGTAGCACTTGTATGAAGCTATAAATGATTAGCCACCTGCCATGTCTGAATGACATAAAGACATGTTCCACCACTATCAAAATGGTATGGATGCAGTAAGTTTAAAATGGCAAGAAGCCCATTCAGGAAAATCACCTTAGAGCAGACCTTCCCTTCTAATTTCATTTAATAAGCACATTTGCAGCTTTTTAATTCTATATTGCTACTCTGAGCAATAAGTGATTGATGATTTGGCAAAGGCATACTGACATACTCCAACAATCTTGGAGTGGAAACGTTATTGGTATTTACTACCCTTCAAAACATCTTTTCCCTGTTTTTGAGATGATGCAGTTTGTGTATGTGTGTATATGTAAACACCACGCATACAAAATGCCAGCTTCGGCTCCCATTGAAGTCTATTGGACTCTCTCCACAGACTGCAGGAGGACATGTTAACAAAAAAAGCCCACAAACCCAGCATTCAATAAAACAAACATTTTGTGGTTTCATTACTGCGCTTAGCTCCGCATGTAGATGGATAGAAAGATCCTGGAGAGAAGGCTGGATTCCTCCTTCCTGGCAAACGGAGCCAGAGTCTCTGTTGGAGCCCCATGAGCTGGAGGTATCCTTAATCTTTCTTTCAGCCTCATTGTAACAAAACTAGCAGTCAAGATGAGTAAAGCATCTTTTCAACATTGGATCATTACACTTAGCAGCCTTCACAGCAGAGAAAGATACAGCTTTCAGTGACATTCATCTCCAGAAGAGCTGTTCCGAAGCATGCTCTTGGTCATCACATAGTGGTTTTATTTTCTGTTTGTACCTATTACAGCCTTTTGGCAGTATTTTTTTAAATTTGCTCTTATTTGAATTTCTATTTACACTAGTGTAATGAGCCCCAAAGAGACTTCAATGTAAATTAGAATTTATGTGTGTGTGCGTGTGCTTGTGTGTATATATATATGAGCATGAATCACTCATTGTTCTAACCTTTGACTTTGTTTACTGCTTTTTACTGTGCCATAGATATTAAGCATGGGCTGAGCTACTTGTCCTGACCTGAACCATCTCTCAGATTAAACCTCTTCTCAAGTTTGATTGAAAATACAACACTCACCATGCCTCTGTACCAAAAGAAAAATTGTTTTGTACTTTAACTCAGAACTGCTCCCCCCAGAACAAAATAGAATTGTCCCCAGAGATTATCCTTGAACTCTTAAGCACAAATTTTAATATGCAGGGTAGATACAGAATCAAGTTCGTGTTTTCTAGTTGTTTGAAATGTGCTGTACACAGGAATTCTGTCATAATTTAAACAGTGCAGGTAGTACCTGTTTGCTGGGGGGGGCTTCTGTGTTTTCTTGATCATAGCTGAGGATGCCTTTTGCATTACAGGTGATCAGGAAAGGAGAAGTGAGTTGCTGCTGGATTTGCACCGCTTGCAAGGAGAATGAATTTGTTCAGGATGAATTCACATGCAAAGCCTGTGAGCTTGGCTGGTGGCCGAATGCTGACCTGACAGGTAGGGAACGTGTCCCTCCAAACGCATTCCCATTTGACAGGGCACAAGGAGAATGGTGTGTAGTGGAGAGTAAAGTGGCAGCATTCAGAGATACTAAAGGTATATATTTAACCACACATCTCATTGTAGTTTAGGGTGAGTGAAGTGCTACATTTTTTGGCTCAGTTCAACAGCAGTAACAATAAAGACGGCGAAATTTGTACCGAGAAATGACATACTCTGTCTGTTCCTTCCCTTCAGTTAGCATAAGCATTGATAAAGCTGTTAGACTACTAATGAATTTAGCGGCATTTGCTGCAGTTTTAGCAGTGATTATCACAAGAGCTCAGTGCATCCTTGTCAGATTGACTTGATACTCTTCTGACTTTTCTACCATGCAATTAGTAATACTTTATTTGGGATTTCAGGGCATACAGTAACTGACTACCAGACTTTCATTTGGTATAAAGATCATTCTCACTGCACCCGCCAGCAAGAGGAACGTCAATAAAATCCTAAGAAAAGCTGGCAGAAGAAAGGGAAATAGCTAGAATTGGTCTCCCCTGTGTAATATGCTTTGGATGAATTGTATGCTATGGCATCTTTCTGTTATTTTGTACCTATGAAAGTCAAGCTCCACACCTGCTCTGGGCTTTGCAATAACCACTACCCCAAGAAAATAGATTTAATGCACTGAGAAGTACCACCTTGACCTTGGGGTTTGCACTGTAAAAGATGACTGTACTTCTGCCGTATGCCGCACCTGTGAATCTTGTCCTCCAGTATTCAGCAGGGCATCATTCCTAGTCAGAGAAACAATCTGACTACCTAGTTGAAGATCAAGTGTGCAGCTTACTACATCTTTGTCCTTCAATATGACTGTCTGGCAATAGATACTGCTGCAGCATTTAACACATAGATGAAGTACTCAAACCTTGATTAAATAATTCCAAGAAACTTTGTTAAGCTAGACACTGAAGCCAAGTGAGTGTGTGAGCTTTCAGAGGCTTTATTTTGAGAGGGAAAGCTGGTCACTTCTCTAGCTAAAAATATATTATTAATCACAATAAACTGGGAAACCTGATCCATTTTCTATCTTGGCTTTCTGTGGAAAATAAGCCATGGTCATGTCCCAGATGTGTGTGTTTCTGCCTATATCCCATACTTCTCACCCCCCTCCACCCCCTGCCCCTCTCTGGTCTGCAAGCGAACCTGCTTCAACCAGATTTGTCAGGATACAGAAATATCAGTGATCATTCAGTTCCTTCAAGATTCTTGTAGCTGGTTTATAGGAAGAGGAGTTCTTGAAAAATACCTTTTGTAACAGCCCCAGTTGTGGAGAATCTTCTTGTTTTACTAGACACCAGAAAATCCACAGCACCCTTCATAAATGTCCTGACCATTGGAAAAGCTCATATTCAGGTCCCGCCTCCTAGGACACCAGTGTCTGCCAATTTTAAAGCAGATATCTACAGAGAACCGTGGTGTGTTAGTCTTGGAAGTTCACAGAATTATTTGTATGTACTATTCAGGGAAGAAAACTGGGACTTCTTTTTAATCAATAAGGCAGAACAAGAACGTAGTGAGAGATCAATGTGCACTTGAGCGAATATAGTTCAGTGCTACCATCTGCCCAAAATAGCTCAAAAGGGGGCATGTCAAAATGACAGGCACTGCTGAAAGGAGTTGAGGAAAGCATCAGTGATGGAAAAAATCTCAGGGGCATGTTGCAATCTATTAACTTTTAATGAAATCAGTAGATGACCTGCTGATTTGTGTTTCTTCTCAGTAAGGAGACTGGACTGCTGCTGTTCTAAAATCACAGTAGTGTCAGCCAAATGACAGCATAGCCATCAACTGATTTCCTAGAGAACATCAAAATGGCAATCTGCTCCTGCACAGCTTCTGCATTCTCTCTTATTAGGGAAAGAACTTCTTTTTTAACCTCTGCAATTCATTTTACTTGAATTGTAGTACCAAGTACAAAGTTGTGACGAGAAGCTGATGGCACCCTAACCTTTAGAAAAGGGAGACTGAGCTAGATAGATAAACTCTTGGGCTTTGCAGGAGTCAGCATTCGTACCATTTAATTTGGAGTTCTCTTTACTTGACAGTATTCCTCCTATCAAATGTGTTTTTATGGCTTGGTTTTATGTGTGTATTCATACTCTGCGAGTCACCATAGCATCTAGACATGGACGTTAACATCTCACATTCCGGATTGTTTTTCCCTTTGCCTTAAATCTTAAATGCTGAACATGTATGCAGTTTTAGTCCCATTTTCCATCACAGATGGAGGCTCTAAAATCCTTAGTTGCTTTAAGAAACATGAAGCACATACTAACCCATTTCCTAAGACATGCTTTTTGAGGTGCTCAACCTCTCAATTTGCAATCAGTCTCTGTTGCACAGCAATCCTTTCCTGACATTTTGTTTTTATTTTTAAATGTACTTTTTTTTTTTTTTTTAGATTGCTTCCCCTAAATATGTGTTCAGTGAATTGGAATCAGCAGGCACAAAGTATTTCTCACCACAGATGATAAAAACCTGACCTGACAAATAGTCACTAAAACCAGTATCTTAACGCCTTGTGCCAGGAAGAGATATCTTTTATAGGATCAGAAACTAATATAAGAAGAACGAATGTCAAGCTAGTAAACCCAGTTACATAAATCATCTTAAATAAGCAATAAAACAATATAGGACAGGAAGTTTTATAGAATATTATGAAATGAATCATAGAGGTTTGGGGCCATCAGTTAGCTGGGGTGTGTTAATGACCTCAGAAAGCATCCTGGATTGTCTTATTGACCTTGCAGTATGAATATAATTTTTTAAAAATAATTAAAAAATCGATTAGCCTTCTGCTCTAGGAAATGATTCATGGTTAAAGTGCAGGGAAAATAGTAGATGAAAGTTACTAAACAGCTTTTTATTAGAAACTTTTAACTATGAAGCTTTTGCCACTGATTGTCTGATTTTTTTTTTTTTTTTTTTTTGAGGTTTGGGTTAGTTTTTGTGGGTTTTTGGGGGGATTTTTGTGGTGGTGTTTTTTTTTTTTAACCTGTCAATACACAATTTCCTGAGTATCCTTCTGCAGTCTCAACAAGGTTCCCTAGCCTGCTTTTTCCTAGCTGGGAATCGACCCACCTTCACAGGTGCTGACAACCAACAACTGTTTGCTGATATAAGCAGTGCAGGCAGCTTTTTGCAACGTTTGTAGCATATATGGCTCTTGGGGCTTGCTGGTGCACAGGAATTACACTGATTTAATGAAACAGATTTCTAAGACCTTATGCAGGATAAGCTTAAAGCAATCGATAGGCTTAACTACTGTGCTGAATCGGGGCTAAGGCTCTGAAAATATCATTTAAGAAGTGATAATATGAGTATGGTTTGATGTTGCTAACCTTAAGCCCACATTGAAACGTAACCTCTCCAGCAACCAGACTCTTGTTTAATAGTTTTGCATGTATTAATCAATGAAGAGGAGCTTCTGGTTCTTAGTCTGATATTGAATCAAAGAAGGAGACAACTTCCACTCAGCGCTGCTGTGGCCAGTGGCCAGAGGTTCCCGCTGCTAATAAAAAGTTTTTCCTTCATATTTCACCATAAAAGTACTGGTTGGAAGGATAGGTTTCCTCACCTATCTGAGTCTTGAACAGACCATTTTGAGCAAAACAGAATTCCTTTTCTTCATAAAATAAGAACTCCAGTTGCACGTGCTATCACTTCTATTGTTTTTGATGTTATAGGTACCTGTAACATCCTTACCTGTAGTTAAGTAGACAGCATTACCTGTAGTTAAGTCAGTCCGGTACTCTTAGAGACAAAGAGTACAGAATTATAAGACATTCTTTCAGTTTGTATGACATTGGCAGACATTAAAAGTTCAAGCAGAAATTTTCCATGTCAGGACTTTGCCTCAGGCTGATTCTTTTAATTTCAACAAAAAAATTTTTTCTTTTTCTGTTTCTCAAAATGAGGTTACAGTAAAACTGTTCAACCCCGATCCATACCTTTGCTTACTTCTCCTCTGCTTGGAATGAAGGACTTGACATTTTGGTAAATATATCAGTTAGTAATTTGTGTCACCCTGTTAAAGATGCATACAAATTGAACAAAACTGTGGGCCTCAGAAGCTTTTAGTTCATACAGGTTGGTTTCTGTAGATATGTTCCATACTGAGGAGGAAGGGGCTGAGCGTGACTTTTGCTCATCACAGTATCAGGGCCCTTGCTAAGATTTAGCAGCAAAACTTAGAGGAAAAGAAAATGTCTCTCTTACGAACTTGCTGTCACCATTGCCTTTCCCCTGCTCTCCCCAGACGTGTCCAAGAACCCAGACAGGCAGAGGTGATGAGCAGCCAGTCCAGGATGTGAAAAGCTGGACCAGCAGTGTTCGTAATGGAGACATCTGGGTGGAGAGGTGACTGGCTAGGAAAATCTGATCTGGAAGGGGAACTGAGACAGGGACGGTGAGGGACTGGGAGGAAAGATACTTGAGAGGTGGGGGAAATGCATAAAAGGTGAGATGGGTCCAAGGGAAACTGGGAAAAGACAGAAACAAGAAGTAGAAGAGGCCATGGACACTTACTTTGGGACACAGAAACATGTTAAAAGCTTTTTGGCACTATCGAGTCAGGAACAGAAATTAATAAATGCCAGAATGAAGGTTTTCAGTAACCCAGCTTCACAACTGTAACATCCTATTAGCACAGAGACTTTTATTTTCTCTGTATTATTTCTTGCCAGTATTACATCTTCAGCACAGTGAAGAAGGTAGCCGGGGACTTCTTTAACTTGAGTGTGGGAGAGAGCAGTTAAGTACCATCTTAACTGTTACCTACATTTGCACATCTGTACTAGTCATAAAGGAGTGCCTTTCCACTTATTTTTTGAAGGCATGCATATTTTGTGGGTTTGACTTCTCCACAATAATTGGATCACATTATTTAGTGGAGACTATGAAAGGAGTGTAGAGAGAGCAAATTGACAAAATGAGAATAAGGTAATATTGTCCCAAACCAACAGAAATATAACGAGGAGGTATAGTATCTATAGTATAGTTCCATTATGACTCTGGATTTGTTTCTGCCTATAACAGATCTCTAATTAATTTCTATGATTTATAAAATCACCCTCAGAAAAATGTAGTGGGGCAAGTTACACTGATTTTGATAAAGATTAAAATAAGTTAGTCTGAGGAGGTTAAAAAGCTACCCATTCTGATTGGTAACCACCCTTTCCTTGCTGAAATGAAGGAATGGTGCTGGATGGTGCTGAATTTGTCTGGCCTCTCTTCCCAGCTCCACCTCTGACATGCTGGGCTTGCCAGGAGCTATTTCAAGAAAAATTAGGAAGAAAATTCCAAATCTCATTTCCCTTTATAGCATCATGAACAAATGTTTGGGACACTCAAAATTGATGGCTGTGTTTTGAATGTATTTCATCCAAACTTCTCCATGCTGCAGTTCACTCCTTTGTAAATGGCACATAGGCATAAGCTAATATTTGAATTATATTTGGAACTAGAACAAAAGAGTTCTTTCTTCAAGCAGATAACATTCTAACATTCTGTTTCTTTTCTGTACACTGTAGGCTGTGAACCCATCCCTGTGAAGTACCTCCAGTGGAGCAATATAGAGTCTATTGTGGCTGTGGTCTTCTCCTGCCTGGGGATCCTGGTCACCATGTTTGTCACACTTATCTTTGTGCTCTACAGGGACACCCCTGTTGTCAAATCCTCCAGCCGGGAGCTCTGTTACATTATCCTTGCTGGCATCTTTCTGGGTTACGTCTGCCCTTTCACCCTTATAGCTAAACCCACCACGACATCCTGCTACCTCCAGCGCCTTCTGGTGGGTCTCTCCTCTGCCATGTGCTATTCTGCCCTTGTGACCAAAACCAACCGCATTGCACGCATCCTGGCAGGCAGCAAAAAGAAGATCTGTACCCGCAAGCCACGTTTCATGAGTGCGTGGGCCCAAGTGGTCATTGCCTCCATTTTGATCAGTGTGCAGTTGACACTGGTGATCACGCTGATCATCCTGGAGCCCCCGATGCCCATCCTCTCCTACCCCAGCATTAAGGAAGTTTACCTTATCTGCAACACCAGCAACTTAGGCGTTGTGGCTCCTGTGGGCTACAATGGGCTCCTCATCATGAGCTGCACGTACTATGCCTTCAAGACTCGCAATGTGCCTGCCAACTTCAATGAGGCCAAGTACATTGCATTCACCATGTACACCACTTGTATCATCTGGCTGGCCTTTGTGCCTATCTATTTCGGGAGCAACTACAAGATCATCACCACCTGTTTTGCAGTGAGCCTCAGCGTGACAGTGGCGCTGGGATGCATGTTTACTCCTAAGATGTACATCATCATAGCCAAGCCTGAGAGGAACGTCCGCAGTGCCTTCACCACCTCAGATGTGGTGCGTATGCATGTCGGGGACGGCAAGGCACCTTGCAAGTCCAACACATTCCTCAACATATTCCGGAGAAAGAAGCCAGGGGCCGGAAATCCAAAGTAAGTTATTGACTGCAGGTACACTTCTATCTGTATATGTTCCTCTCTTTGCCATCCTCTCTTGGGTGACCATAGTTTGCTGAATAGTAAGGTATGTAATATTTTTTCATCTCATGTGTAGCAGAAAAGGCAGATATGATCCTTTAGAAGCCTCAGATGGATATTGACATGTTGCTGCTTATTTTCTCTCCTGCTCTAAAGGCAGCCCTGTACACAACTCCTCTACCTTTGGGGCAGGTCAGGCAGTGGCAGATCTCCATTTGCAGCTCCTCCCATCTCTCCATGCATGTGATGGGGATCTCACGCCCCTACGTGCAGTTGCTCTGCATTATGTTCAAATTGAGGTGTTATTGTAGCCTTCTGGGAAAGGGGACTAGAAATCTGTGTCTGAGTGGTTGTAAATCTCATGTACTTGTCTAAGGCCACTGGGATGTGTGTGTGAAAGCTGGGGATTGAACATTAGTTTTTAAGGTAGTGTTTTGTGACAATCCTCATTACTGTGATCCAAAAGCACCCTTCATACTATCCCTATGCTCTATTTAATATTTAGAATTATGAGCAATACTCTTAATTATCATTAGTGTAAACTTGTCCATGTTCTCAAATCCAGTGTTGGTGTGAAAATTGCAGAAGTCAACTGATAATGAAAATTAACTTGCATGCGCATCTATCGAACCTGTTATTTTCCTTGTTAATAATTAAAAGCAACCCAGCTACAGCAGAGGGGGAGAGAGAACTGTTCCTTCAAACAGCATCTCTCTGTGAGCAGCTGTCTGAACATTTGCATTCTTTATTATCTTATTGCTTTTTAATCTTTAAAGAAGCACCATAGGGCTAGACATGAGCTTAGATTATTTTTATCCCAATTTTAAAAAAATTATCAAAATAATAAAGAACCAGTGAAGTCTACATTTCTGAGCTTCCTGATAGAATTAAGGTTCAGTTAATTTTGAGCTCTCTGGGATCTGTAGGTTTCTCTGAGTCACTTGTGTTGGTTTCGATTCAGTTTGCATAAGAACCGTTTTCTTACATCCTGGAGATGGAAGGGATAAGGATGGAGGTAATACAGTAGAAAACCCATGCTGTGATCAATTTTATCTTTACGCTACTTCAATACTTTTTATTTTGTTGCCAGGCAGGGGGTCAGTAAAGAAGGGAATGAAGACATAAGTAACCCAAATGTACAGCTCAGTGTGCCATGGAGGCCATGATAAGGCTGCCAGCTCCTGAGCTAGTCAGAGAGGGAGCTGGGAGTGGCAGGCAGCCCTGCAAGCCCCCCATGCAGGGGGATGGCCAAAAATCTCTGTAGCTCAAGAGCTTGAATTCCATGCAAGTAGAAAGATGGAGCCTGATCCACCTTCCTCTGACCCTGTGGAAGTTGGATGGGGTCCTACGTGTCTGTAAGAAACCAGTGTGGTGTCTCTGCAGCATAGTCTCTGGCTAATGCTGTTGGTATGTTTAAGACGATATCTGACAAAAAAAAGGACTACTGAGTGTTGATCATGAGAAACTTAGTAACTACTTCTTTGTTGTGCTTACTGTTTTTCTAAATTTCACCAAAAAAATGGTACTTTAAAAGACCCAAGTGCACTATATTTAGAAAACAGTTCATATGAGAAAACATTTCATCCTGTTCAAAAACTGAGCTTCCCCCTCAGCATTGTGACCTTGAAAAAACAACAGGGTTTACCTGAGCTTTTTAGCAATTTGTTTGTTGCATAGATTTACTAAGATTTTCTTGATCTCTCTGTTGAGCCTCTGCGAGTGGTATAAAGCAAAAAAGCCCTACAGAGTTTTAAGGTGCTCTTCTAAACTGAAAGCTCAATACCTAGTTAATAGGCTTTTTTGTTTCAGGTCAAACCTTCAGATCTTTTGCACAGCAAAATCCCAACCTCTAACATAAACCTCTTGTGCAGTTACCGCTACGTTTTTCACCTAAACCAGCACGCGTGCGGAGGCATGCCAGGCTTGCTGATGGAGGACAGCATGCCTCTCTGTACATGGGCATGAAGAACTGAAAGCAGTGCAGTATACAAACATGTAGCTTTGGAAATAAAGTCACAAGACAGCACAAAAAGTCATTTCAGGGCTTTGGAGGGTATTTTAACTCCTAGCAGAGTCCATTGCAAAGCTTGTGAGGACATTGTGCTGACAAAGATGAAGAAGTGTGACTCACTGAGGAAACCAAGAAGGAAAAAGTAGAATTTGCTGGGGCCTTTGAAGCACCTAGATAGCTCAAAGGTGTAGTAAGGTCCTTCCTGAAACAGGACTTGAAACTACTGGAACATGCTTAATGCCCGCAGGAATAGCCTCCAGGCTGGTTTTCAACAATTTTTTTAAAATTTTCCCATCAAAATCTGGGATTTATTTGCCAGTTTTTAGTAATTCAGTTACCTGAGTATGTTCTGCTTCTTGATTCTGTAATTGTCCCTCCCTATGGCCACATTTTTCTGTCTGTAAGTGGCCAGCAGTGCTTCACTCAAAAGATTTCTTTTCCAGCTGTCTTACAACAACTTTCCATCCATTTCCTTGTTACCTCTTCTCTTTCTTCCTAGCTTGTTTTTCTTTTTCTGCTTTTCAATTTTCATCTCTCTTTTCCAGTCTGTATCAAACCTCTCCTCTGCTAGCCCAGTGAATTCCAATTTGTAACAGAAAAGAGGCATCAATCTAAATTAAATTGATGTGGAGATATAGAGTTAAACTGAGTTAGTTTTAAAAATGGAAACTAGTTTTCATTTACAAGGGCAAGTCAAACTTATATAAGCCTTGATAAAGCACTCACATGCAATGTTGTGCTGTTAGTTTAACTAGTATAGCTTGGGGACTAGAGCAAGCCAACTCACTCTTCCTTTCTCCTTCCTAAAGTAGAGCAAAAGAATTAACCAGGGAAATCTATTAACACAGGATCTGTTAGTCAATTCAAAACCTTCAGCTACATCTGGTCCTGATACAGAGGTCAGAAAACAGAGTTTCAATGAAAAAAAATTGTTTAGTAACACTGGTCTTCACTTAAATAACAAAGCACTCTGCCTTTACTTATCTGTTGTGCTCTAAAGATACCATGTGCAATCATGAGGGTTTGAACTCTTACTTGGTTGAATTAAACTATGAATAATTACAGCCAGCACAGTTTTAAATATAGCTGGTTGGGAACTTTCCAGTGGAATATGTTTTTCATAAAAATTTTGGCCTCTCAAAATGTTTCACAGATTGGGTTTTGATGGAAGGGATCGTCTCTGGGCCAGGGGGATGGTTTTTTTCCCCACGGAGGGATAAAGGCTTTGGGGAAGTGTGAGGGAACTTTACCCCAACAGTCATTAGTTAAGGCACTCACTTAAAAGCATCTCCTTCACTTCCCAGGTGAATGCCCTATAACCGGACTATGCACTGCCTTGGGGCAGGTCTCCTCTTTTTTCTCTGTTCTTGACCAGCAATGTGTCCTGGAAAAGAGAAAAAAATCCTGATGCAAACCCTAGAGGAATACTTTGTATTATTCTGTGAGCGAACTTGAATCTGGGTCTGAGAGATCCCTCGCGAGTGTCTTCAGTACCAAGCTACTGTCAGTCTCTGCCTCTTGTCAAATGAGTATTTAAATATTTATAAAAAATGGAACAGCTCTGTCAGGGGAGATTGAGAGAGAGTGATATCTGCTGCTTTTATTGAAGCTTTGTGGGGACATTTATTGTTAGAGTTTGCTGCTTGATGATACCATGAGATCCTGGCTGTTACAGGATGATGACATAACAGCATTTTTTAGGAGAGCCTTTTTAATGTATTTTTTTTCTAGCTGTGAGATTGTAACTTTTGGATATGGATCTTGCTGTGATCATTAGCCTTGTTCTTGACCACAAATGTTGCTTTGGTCTATGAGAGTTAATCAGCTTGAAGAGCACCACTCCTGTACAGTGCCTGTGTGATTGCTTCCCCGAGGAAGCAATGCTCCTTTCTATACTATATGCAGAAAAAATAACCAGTGACATTGAAGATGCTGATCTTGAGGAGGATTCAGGAAACACTTTCTCTAGCCACTGCTTCAAATGGACCCCACTCAATGTGCAGGAGGCTGGAGCCAGGTCCACATGCACACTTCAAATAGAGCTTGAACCACACAGCAAGGCTCACCTCTTCTCCCATGCTTTTTGCAGGCTGCAGTGGCATGAGAAGAACCAGTGTTGCAGAGGGATAAGTTCGTTGTGCATTGTTGGGTAATTAGCTCCAGGTTTGGTGGTGATGCTTAGCTGCTGCCTTGGTCTTCATATATAAACAATTTTAAATTCATGATTGAGACCCCAGGTCTGGATACCATTTTAGTGCATTTTGAATCAGAGTAAGTAAGAATTTAGTTGTCAACATAAGTTGCATAGCAAAATTTGCGCTGATGGAAAGGCCAACTAGCAAGACTCGCTGAATGGCCAGGACCCCACATTAATGCATAAGCCACCTGCTTCCCCCCTTGCAATTTTAATATATTTGCATTCAATTCTTTTTCCTCCAGCTGCCTGCCCTCAGAAATGAATGCCTGTTTTTAAATATTTCCAAGCATGTACTTTTTATTTATCTTTTAACATGTTTTGGCAGTCCATGCCTCTAGGCTGCTCTCACAGGCATCCACTCCAAGCAGTGTCCAAGCAGTCACCTGGGCCAAGGATCTCTCAAAATGGCTTTATTTCACTCCAATAAAAAGGGTTGGGCAGCCCAACATCCCGTAGTACTTTCTCCCTGCTTCCTTTACAGGAGTCTATTCCTGTTCTTCATCCTCTCTCCCTCTGTACTGTGTCCCTGAATACAGCTTTTTAGCTGGGAGTCAGGTTTCTCAGTTACCTCTAGTAACAAGTGTCCATTCCCTTACCAAGTCTTAAGGAACCATCTGCTTTTTTGTCTTGCCGGACAGAAGATTATCTCCAGCTATTCCTGAGTTACTTTTTCTGTTTAAACTGACTTGCTGAGTTCCCATTTCACCTTGAGCAAGCTGTGCTGACGTGCCATGTTTTTCTGGGACTCATT